GCTGAACCACATCAGTGGGTTATTATATCCCCAGCCCCCACCTTGCCACCCTCACTGTTGCTTGAGCCCGTCATTCCTTTCTTAAAGAAAGGGGGACCAACTGAGGTGTAGAACTGAAGAATCTTCAAACAACAGGTCGGGGGATGAGAAAGCAGGAGTGTCCTCATCATGCTGCTAATGGAGACCAGGCAGGAAGAGAGATGTGTCCTTATCAACACAATGTGGTCCTCAGATTTATCATGGAAAAATTGTGAGGTGTTGGTTAGGAAACTGCTTATTTAGATACGGGTCATGCAGACCTCTAGTCTTGCTTGAAACCCAGCCTCTAGGATGACATTTCAATGGAAAAAATGCACTGCAATCTCCACTGAACAATCTGTTATTGTATGGGAGCTGCCAGCACATAACAATAGGAACATAATCCAAATGCATAGGTCTGACTTCTGGATTTCTGCGTTTAGTCATTTTTGTCTGTCTTTCTTTTAGAATGGAATTGCACTTGACACTTTTTAAGTACCAAGCTTTCTTCGAATCAATACTTATATCCGCTTCCTTCAATGATTATCTTCCTATTATCAAAGGTTAGGGGACAGAGAATAATTCTTTAAAGAAGTGATTTCTGAATGGAGCAATCAATCCCTTTGAATTAATAGTGAGCTTTTAAACAAAGATTAGAAATATGTGCAAAGAGTCAAAGGATAACACAGGAACTGTTAACAATTGATATTACTGCAAAACGACCCCAAATATTTAGTTCTGATCATGGTAGTTATCATTAGGCATTAATATTTTGGTCTTTATTCCTCTGGTCAAATATCTATGTTGTTAAATTGCTTTCTATTCCCTCTGCTAAAACCCTAGTTTGTACCTGAGTTGTACCTGTAAGCATCATCAGGATAACGACGTATGTTTACAAAGCACTTCTGTTTTCAAAGGGCTTTCACAGCATTATTTCATCTGTTTCTCACAACAGACCTTTAGCTGGCCTATCTGATATCAGCCCCATTTTATGAGAGATAGTTGAGGCAGTCTTCACTCAGCCAGCAGGTAGTGACAGTGGCACACCTGTCCAAAGGTGAGAAGAGCAATGGGAAACCAGGTGGCTATAGTGTGTAAGGCTAGCCTGTAGAGAGTCTGAAAGCTCAAGGACTGAACCAGTTTGGTAGGCAATGAGATTTTTAATCTGAGAAGTGATTAGATTTGTATGGTAGGAAGATAGCCAACAGCAGGAAGAATGAAAGGAGCAGGTAATCACTAAAAAGGTGATCTGGAAAACAAGAGCCAGCCTTAGATGGTACAGGGTAATCCACCGACTCTAGTCAGCTGGAGCTGCGTCCAGAAAACAACTTTCAAACAATTTTTGGAAGGAGTCATCATCTAAAAGGGAGGCTAAGGGATAGTGGCCTGCTGTGAACCCCAGAAATCCTCAGATCCTTCAGGTCACTTATGTTCTCTACTATGTATGCCTGGAGGTGGCAATCCGAGGTCTTTGGTGCCCTCCACCCTATCCTTTTGTTCTCTTTAGCTCATGATTTTATACCTCAGGGAGGTTATCCCTCTCTAGTGTGTTCTTTCTGAGTCAAAAAGTAGACCCACAAAGACTAAAGCAGAATCCTAGCAAGAACATACAAGATTTGCTCATTCAACAAATCATTACTGAGCCTCTACTATGTGCAGACCCTGTTCTAGGCAAGGGGATACACTAAGGAATCAAAGGAAAGCCCAGCTCACATGAAGCTTCCATCTGACCACATCTCCTGCCTTCAGGCCTTCACGCTTGCTCTTAACTCTGCTCCATCTGGATCATGCTGCTCCCAGAAATCTGTGTGAGTCTCTAACTCCCTGACCTCCTTCAGATTGTTTCCTATCATCACCTTTTCTGCAGGGCCCTCTCCAACCACCCTATTCAAACCTGCATTGCCTTCCAGAATTGCCCTTCCCTCCTTTTTTTCCCTTCATAATACTTATCACCATCTAAAATATTATATGTTTCTCTTATTTTTTCTTCATTATTTTTCTTCTCCCACTAGAATCTAAGTTCCAGAAAGGCAGGGACTTTCGTTTGTTTTGTTACTGACTGTATCCCTAGTGCCTCTGGCATTAAATAGCACATAGCAGGCTTGAAATAAATCCTGCAAATTCACTCACATGATCGAACAAAACTTTTGACACACAGAGATGAGCATGGAGGACTCTAACATTCATTCATATTCATTATTATAATTTATATATATGCGTATATATAGTTTTCCTACATAGTTAAGTGTACATTCCTACCTTGAACATACAGTTTTAAAAGCCCCAAATGTCCAAATTTGTAGGCATTTATTCTTACTTTATTTGGTTACCTTTAGTTATTTGTTCTTAAACATTTCTTCCTCTTATGTTGTCTTCAAAAATGAACATTCTTTTCTTTTCATAGTCAAGCTATTTATTATAAGATATTTCCCACAGAATCTATAACCACTTACTATTTTCAGCTAAATGAATGTCAATTCCCAACATCAAAACAGCCCTACGAAACACAAAAATGATGTCAAATATCTAATCTTTATTCTTTTTAAATGCAATCTCTGACTTTAAAAGTAGGCATATATGTAAAAGCAGTCTAACTGAATTAAAATTCTATACCTATAAAACCTGCCCTTGCTCACTCTTTAATATATTTTTAAATTTCTCCAAATAGTTGGTTTTTCAATGCAAAGGTTTGGGTTGCAGTGATTTTCGGGTGGAAGTTATGAATGCACAAAGTCTCTGATACAGAAATAATTAAACATTTTGCTTTCTATTTCTCTAACTCCTGAGAAACACTGGCTAATAAGAAGAAATGAATGGAAAATGCCAGTAGAGCTGATCTAAGGCCTGGTTCTCTCACCTACTAATTATGTGACCTTAGGCCAGCTTTAGCTTGCTTAGCCATAAGAAGAAACGTGAGATTCCCTGACCTGCTCAACACTGAGAACTTTTCTGAGAATAAAAAAAATAAAAATTAGTATTGGAATATGCTCTAAACTATTGAGCAATAGTCAAATAAAAGGTATAATGATTTTTTCCAAAGGTGAAGCCCTCTTAATAGTTTCTAAAAGCATAGTAAAACACAGCATTTTCTTCTTCTTCCCACCCACTTATACCAGGGTATAGTATAAAAAGTAATTTTTACAGACATATTTTGTAATTTACCTTTGACTGTATTGTCCTCAGGTTGACCAGGTGAATGTCACAAGGCAAAGATGACACTAATGGAGAGAATTTACCCAGCAGCTGAAGGGTGGGCATGGGGTTTTTTCCTGTCATTGACAAGACAGGGTGATTCAGGAAAGAAGAAGTTATGTGACTAAGGAGGGAAGGATAACTGACTGACTTCTTTTCTTCTTCCTATTGAGAAAAAACAAAAACACTTAAGTTATGTATTTGTAGTTCTCATAATATTAATTAAATTACCTGATGGGATTTAAATAGAATATAAAAATATATAAATACTTTGATTTTATTATATTTTATAAATAACAGTCTTGGATAATGCATAGATTACCAAGTTTGGTTCTAAATATGAGAAAATGAACAGTGTCCACTTAACTATGTTTAGAAATATCTCTTTTCTGTTGCTTTAATACTAAAAATCCTGACAACATTTTCCAGAAACATTTTTGAACAAGGTATAACTTTTTATAGAAACTCTTTCTCAATCTACCATAAAACTCTTAAAGTAGATGGGAAGAGATGTTCATATATTGTGCACATCATCAAATGTTCTCTTTTTGCCTTAGGATTTACTCATTACATTCTCATGGTTTTATTTATATACTTAACTAGATCATAAAGTTATGTGTTGATCCAAAGCTATGGTTTATAAATGTTATTCGATGACAGAATTTAAAAAAAAAAAAACTCAAAATAAGATTTTTAAATAACACAGGTGCCATATCTAGATTATCCGTTTTCTTTAAATTTGGTATATCATTGACAGTTGCTTCACTCTATTTCCCAAACAGGAACTGTTATACATGTTATACAACAGTTATCACACATTTATATGATATATAATTATTCAGTCTAATTTTAAAATACTTTAGTTTTTGCTATGGACAAGCATTTTAACATGTTCTAACATAAATAAGTCTATCAGGGCTGGGGACATACATGTAAAGGATGACATACCCAATTATTTAAATCAATGACTAAGTAGAACCTTAACCAATATTGCCCAAGGAATAAAAGCAGACACAGAAAAGTACTAAGAAGAGAAAATAATTTATGTAGAAAGTTTGTTTGATCACCAGTGACATCTGAAGCAAATTTAATTTTGTATCTTATTTTTTAAATGACTATTTCACTGATATCTTCTGATGTTGCATCCTTTTTGTAATACAAGGCCCAGATGAAAGAGCTGGCTACTTATCTGTGTGAGGATAGGATTTATAGGAGATACAGAACTTAAAATTCAGAACGTCAGAATAGCATTGAACAGAGGGTGTTAGTGAAGAGTGGCAAGCATCTTGCCAGGAGCAAACTGTAGATGTCATTACAATTTAGACCATGAAGAGAGAAGACAAAATTTTTTAAAGACAGCAGAGGGACACTGCAATATTAAGATACTGACAAAAAATATGGAGTCTGAAAGAGTTGTAAAAAAACGTCTATTCCACATTCTTCTTTTAAGGAAAGATTTAAAAAAGCATATAAAATAATATTCTCTAACAATTTTGAAATTTAATGCAGCTTGTAGAATAACATGAATAGAGAGGGAAGATTTTCAACAAGACACTTTAAATGTACTCCAAGATCAAAGAACTTCATATCTAGGTCAGGATTGCTGACAAAATAACTTTTGAGTAAGAAAGATAAAAGATTCTAACAGAAAGGAGAATACCTCTCTTATCAGATTCAAGTGCATTAAGTCCATTCTTGGTCAAGAAACATTCAGAAAAAGCTCCCTGGCTTTGTTCTAAGCTCTTGGAGGAATTCTTGAGCACTTCGGTGAGAAGGTGGGGGTACTTTTTGACAGATTATTGGTATCTGAGAAGCAGTAATGTGCATATTTACCCTTCTTCTAAATCAAAATTAGTTCACCTAATCCTCAGTGCTTCCCCTAAATTGACCATATATCAAAATGTCTTGGGGAGCTTTTAAAAAACATGGATCCCTAGGCAGGGGTAGGGTCCTGGGAAGGTGAGGCTTAAATGCTCCCTTCCTCCAGGTGAATCGCATGTAGTCAGAACCACACTGCTCTGTGGACCTGTGCTGGGAACTGCCGCACCGGACATCCTTCCAACTTTCTAGAAGAAACAGAGCTCCCTTTGGAATCAAAAGTGTAAGCCTCACTCTTTAACTAGTTTAACTAGTTTTGGATTAAAAAAAAACAAAATTCATACTCAAAAACATGTTAATGAAAAGTCTTGTCAAGGGAAACAATGCCATAAATAGAAGTACTCTGAGAATTCAAGAACTGTACCATTTATTGTCCTAAGCAAGATGAGAAAGAGAAGTATATAGAAAAGCGGTGGTTCAGTGATATATAGCACCATGAACAAATAACACTGCTGGAAGCTAGCTAGGCTGGGTGGGGCAATGTCTCACCAAAGGCTCCATCATCCACACACTTTCTTAACATATTTACAGCAACAAGGGGCCCAACAAGATATTTAACTGTTGAATTATCACTATTTTGATTAATCTCCTAGGAAGGTAATCTTTTAAATGTAACCTTATGATAATCCCAAATTATATAAAACATGTCTGCTATAAGAAATTTTACTTGTTTATTTGAGCTATAAATGAATTCTCCAACCTTGTAGTAACTAATACACTACTATAAACATTATTTGGTTTCTTGTTGGTTTGAAGGCTTCAGACTGTACAAGTTTAGCTTTCTCCTTGCAACATGCATGAAATCAAATTTTCCAGCACATTCTGATCCAAAACACACCAAGTTGACATCTTCTCCATTGGGTGTCAGCCCTTATTTCAGAAGTCAAACTTCTTAAGAGGCTCCTTGGTGCCTTTCATTAAGCCCACTTGATGATCCCAAAACATCAAAGGTTTCCATTTCATCTACATCAAAACTTGCTAAATTATGTAAGAAAATAAGATATCATTTTGTAGTCACCTTTGTTTATTCAGTATGACCTGACACATGGCAAGAACTTGATTATGTTTGCTGAATTTCACCTAATAATTTAAGAAGCAAATGCAATATAAGTAAATGGAGAAAAATATTATAGGGAGGGAAGGATAGAGTAAAAAGACAAATAGGAAAAAGAAGAAAGTGAAAATATATTGAATCTAAAGATTTAGAGATAAATATCACACAGCATGAGCTGAAGCTTAATGGTTTGTGGGCCTAATTTATCTATAGGAATGTTCTGGTAGGTTTGTATGGTATTAAAAAGTTGTTTGTTTTTCATCTAATTCTCAAAAGCAGAAAAAAGTCCAGGAGAGTTCACATTAAATCATTAACAACAATAACAAAAACTCCTCCCAAATGATTACCTCCCCCTTTTTTTTAATCCAAAACATCGGAAAATCAAGTCACAATGGGCCCCCACATTCTCACTGGAAACAATCAGCTGGAGCTAAGCTGCAGCTTCCAGGTGGGATGTGTGTCATGTACACGACAAGTCCTCTGGTCATCTAGCTTAAACATTTGCTCTTTAAACCTCACCAACCCACCTCATGCCATCACTCTCCTGAGTCCTGTAAGGATTTGAGTTTTTCATCTGATCTCTCCTAACTTCCTTTCCTTATACTTAAAGAACTGGTATCCAGAGGTAAGACTGATACAACTGTAACACTTGAACACATCGCATTTCTGAGTCCAATTTAATGTAACCTTTACTGCACCATCCTTCTAATTTCTAACTCAAGGCCCCCTTTACTACACTAGTCACCAGCAGAAAGATGAAAGCAAGTAAGAGTCAAAGAAACAAATTGTAAAGGGTCAATGTCAAAGAGACTATTCCTATTTTCCACTTCTGTTGACCTCTGAGTATCATTACATGGATGACAGTCAACCTCACATAGCCATAGTCCTCCGCTGGGCATTGATACATCTCATAGAAATTTCCATTCCAGTCCTTATTCTTACTGCCTCTCTGCAGAATACTCAAGAATAGAACTCACTTCTATTTAGTCATCCAGGATTACTCCCATAATGCTCCGCAGGCTCAAGGCTTTCCATGAAAGAGTCTGTCTGTCTCCAGGGACTATCTCCTCACTTCAGTTTCTACCATTGATATTTTAGACATTAGAGTCTGAGTTGAAAATAAAAACACTTTCTAGAAAATTTAAGTTATATGATATGTAACACTTCTTTATCAAATGTCTTCCTAATCATTTCACTAGAAATTAAAATGTATTTTCTCTTTTCTAGTTCATTTTTTATTTAAAAGAAACTATTGATTTAAGCCCAAGAATCTATAGCTGAGCAAAAGAAATATTTAACCAACATAGGATTAGGAAAACACTGGATCAAATTTAAATCAATTAGTCTCCAAGGAGTTTTGAATGGGAATAAACAAATTATTTAGCTTCTAAATGAAAGCTTTATAAACCGGACATGAAAATTCTTATTGCCATAGTTAACAGACGTTTTTCAAAGTAGTGTCTATATAGAGAGTAAAATCATAAAAGCCAGAAAAATTTTTAGGAGGAGAAAAAGACAGTAGCTGCCACCGCTCCAACAGATTTTCCTATATAGTTTTAGTCCTAAAACTAAGCTATAGTGTCATAATTGATTTAAACCATGAGTTCCAAGAACTGGTATAAATTTTGACATCTAAAATAGATATTAAAAACTTTTTCCTGAAAGGTTCTAGATATCAGAAAAATTCTTTGCTTTAATTAACTATTGCCATTTTATTCAATCAACTAATATTTTACTTATGGAATGCTTATCATAGGTTAGGAGGCCTGTGGGACACAGGAAAATGAAGTAGACAAGTCTCATGCATATGATGACAAGTCAGTAAGCAGTAACTGTGATAAATACAGTGGCACAGTGTGTTGTCACAGCTCGTTCGTTTATGCATTTGGGTATTCATTCACATAACATATTGGGTGCTTCCTCTGCTAGGAACAGCTTAGGAACAGAGAAAGACAGCCCCTACTCTCAGGGAGTTTATGGTCCAAAAGAAAATGACAATGATCCAATGACACACACACGGAGAGATGCTCAGTTGTGAGAGAACCACAGAAGAAGGGATCTGACCTGGTCAAAGAGAAGCAGGTGACGAAGTGAGCTCTGCTCTGAACTACGACCGAGTCTCCTGGGAAAGAGGATGAAAAGGCATGTACAAAGGTGTGTGGGGGAGGTGCATGAGAAGTACCAGTGGGCCCAGGGCAGAAATAGTGAGAATCATGCTAAATGAGGATGGGGGACAGGCAGGGCCCACATCATGAAGGGCTCTGTAAGCTGTAGTAGATTTTGGCTTTTATACTGAAAGCAATGAGAAGACATCAGTGAGGTTAAGCAGAGGGGCAATGAGGTTCAATTTGGTTTTGAAAACCAAAAATTCTGCTTCCTGGGTTAAGAACAAATACGGCAGAAAAAAGAGAGCAGAATGGATATATCCAGGAAACACATGATGTTAGTTTACATTAGGGTGGTCGAAGTTAACAAGTTTAAAGATTTGAAATATTCAGGCAATGAGGCAGCCAAGCAGTGGTGATTACTACTGTGAGAAAAAGGCCAGTGAGGGAAAAGTACCCATGAGAGAGGATTCCTAGATGGCTGGCACTGGATGGAAGAGGTGGTGCTCATCACCAAGAGAGAACACTGGGAAAAGGCCAGGTTTTGGGGAGTAGGGAGATCATGAGAGTCGTTTTGGATATGTTGAATCTGAGGTATCCTTAGAAACACAGAAAGAAATACCAGGAAACAACTAGATAAATGGGATATGTATTTGTGGGTTCCATCTACATACAAAGCCAGGAGAGTAGGAAAGACTGCAGAACAAGAATGTATAAAAAAGAGAAAAGGAAAAGGCTTGGGGTCAAGAGTTAGAGAGCTCTGATATTTAATGGCTGAATTAAGAACTATCAGTGAGATAGGGGGAAAAAAAAAAAAAAACTGGCCAAGAGGAAAGAAGAAAACCAAATGAACAAGGCACCATGGAAGCTCTGGCTAGAAGTGTTTTAAGAAGTGATAATGGTCAAGTGTCAAATGCGCTGAAAGGTGAAGTGAGAGGCTGATCAAACACACCCGCTGGATCTACTGATGTTGGCAAGAATGTACAATGTAGGCCAAAGCCAGATAGAAATGAATTGAGCGTAAGAGGGAATTGCTAAAATAAACTCATCCTATAAACTCTGGCTCAACAGGGTAGTGGACGTAGGACAGTAGTATAGGGGAAATGGAAACGAGTGTGAGTGAGGGCTGTTTTCTGTTCTAATGTTTAATGAGAGAAAAATGAAGACTGCTTAAAAGTCAACAGAAGGGATTTCCTAGGGAGATGTTGGCTATGAGGGGGCCTGGAGAGCTAAGGAGGGAGAATAAGTGGTAGCAGGATCCTGAGAAAGATGACTGGGGTAAGTTCCAAGGACAAGTGGAGGGACTGGCTTAAGATGGAAGGAAGGTAAACATCTCTATTGTAAAATGAGGGAGGAAGGAAAAGGTGGGGGTTGATACCTGGTGACTGGAACAGAGAGCCCTGTTGAATGACTGCTCTCTCTCTATAGTGAACGGTGAAGTCATTGGCTAAAAAGAGCAGAAAAGATTTGAAATGTACAGGAAAAGGGAGAGTGGAGTAAGAGGAAAAAGGGACATGTCAAGGGCCATCTGAGGTGGTGAGCAGGTCATTTATGGAGGACTCTGAAGGTACTTTTTTGCTGCTTAATAAAGCATATTGTCAGGGTGGTTCATGTCCAGTGGAACTTTGGCAAGACCGTTTAACACGGAATGCTGGATTTTTGCTTTGAAGAATGAAAACTAAACAAGCAGACAGACAAGTAAATCCATTTTCAACTGATGAGTCTTAGAAGTACACTAAGGTTTCTTACTAATCAAACATAATCTCCTAAGTATATGACTAAGGTCTACTCTTTAACTCAACTCTTTCAAAATAATTTCAAGAAAATTCATCTAAACTGATTCCTTAACATTACTTTATATCTTCATAATAAAAAAAATTAAAATGACCTAAATGCAACACAATATAAATTATAAAACTGAAGTTCTCTTTCTTGTGAATATAGGCTACATCTATTATAAACTACAACCATATAGGAAATTGTAAAAAATAAAAAAGTGAAAAGTCATAATTTCAAATTGGGGTGGCAAAGAACAATTAACATTAGAACATGCAAGTTGTTTTTTTTCCTACCATATCCACGACAGTTCTTTTTTCTAGTAGTATTCGAAATAAATTAGCTGTAATCTTGTTATCATAGACACCTTGCTCAAGGCCACGATTATCATCTTGCATGAGTCTTCGATCCATGATAACTTCAATCTGACCTATGAAACAAACAAAAAAACTAGCCAGGGTTATTTAATACAAACATTCCTTGAAGATCACTTAAGTACGTGCGCAGTCTCAAATTAAGTTTCTCCTCTAGTCAGGGAGACAGATCTATGCAACCAACGGTCCCACGGACATTTTCTCAATAATGGCTCAAAGTAACTAGCATAAATTTCATAAAACATGATTATATTTCTGCTTTTCTTCATTAATACCTAGTTAAATCTGATAAGAAATTTAAAAACAGGACAGGACAGATTAAAATTAAAATTTAAAAAATTAATCTAAAATTAAAAAAAATTAATCTAAAATTAAAAAAAAAAATTAATCTAAAGAGTAGATTAAGTCCTCCAAAATTTTTAGTGGCAGCATTTGGAATATAAAAATGTTTACGGGGTTCATTATGAAACACACATCACACATGGAGTAATAAGACAAATACAGAAGGTAGGATCTAAACAGGATTTGAAATAGTTTTGGTTACACGATATATGGTGATTCTCTGAAGAAGCCCCTAGGATTTGTTAACATCTGCCATGTACCCCCTGATATTATATTAGTGGCATCACCACTGTCCTGTCTCCTCTGGCTCAAAAATGTGGTTCCTTCATTGGCTATGCAATAATTCTACATCTCCTCTAGCTTAGATTGTAAACTAATGGTTAGGTTGTAAGATTACAAACTAAAGAAAGTAAAAACCAAAAACAAAAAAACACAAAAATACCATGCAGAGTCACATATATTATACTAAAAAAATTCTAGTTTTATGTGTACTTTAAAAATATATGTATATTCACCCATCCACTAATTCATATTTGTTACTGTACTAAATGATGATCCGGCATAAAAGAACAATAAATAAAAGATTTTAATAACTATTACTCTTACATAGTCAAAACAACTGTTTAGTTTCTTTCTTCTTAGTTTAGGTACCCAGGACATAAAATGACCAGCAATGGTTAGAATTTTCATTGTTACTACCTCTAGATTTTAGAAGACAACTGTCTAGAATATTCCCATGCCTACCCAAAGTTTGATCACTTCACATCCAAATTAGTACCTTCGGCAATTACTAACTCTTCTCCCTGCCTCCAATTATTAGTCCACATAATAAGTGACACTAGTAATCTCTTGGACTGTACTCAAATTGTTTTTGTTTGTAGCTATTCAAATACTGGGGTGTTTAGGCATCTACAGCAGGGCAAAGGACCTTTACTTCTCAGCTCACCTTTATTAGAGAAGCAAGGTAATACTGCTTGGTTCATGCTGCTGGAGTCCTACAGTACAGTTCCCTGTTTAGAGCCCAACTTTGAGAATTTAAGGCAGAGTTTTAAAACCTGTGGGTCAGGAGTCACATCTGGCACAAAGATGTTTTATGTTCTGATATTTAAAAAATTATGTCAACATTTACAGATTGGGCAACTTCATGTAAAATTCCAGATTCCTAGGCTCTTCAAAAACGGAAACTTTTGGCAACACTGGGCCCCTTTCCCCATGGAGACGATGAACTGGCACTAAGCAGTGCTGCCCGGCTGACATGGGGACTGTGCTCTCCAGTTTGCTCAAGTCCCGCCCCCTACTGAATCCCCAATGTGAGGCCATTATTATTTTTATAACTGCATTCATGTCTTTTTGGCACGACCTCATGACTTCATCTAATGAAGGCCTAAAGAAAAATGAGGAGTAGTATGTTTTTCTGTATGTGTAAGTACAGAATGTATGTATATGCCTAATATAAAAAGTGAGTTTGTGTCAAAGAATACACTAGGCATCCGCACTCATTTATTGTCTGCCTGGCTTCTTGAGATATTTGTCTTAGCAACTGTTGGTATAAAAGGAAGGAAAACAATTGACGTCATGTAAATAATAACTAAAAATATGTATTATGAAGGACAAAAGCTTCCCAACAGTAAGTTTTACAAAAATGAATCAGTGTACACAATTTTCTTTCTCCATCTCATTTTCTCTTTCGGGATCCTTAAAGTATTGTCAGTCATCTCTTTATTTCTGTTATCTGTATCCTCTCTATTCCCTTTCTTCTTTCGTGTGGTAGTGCTGTAGAAGGATGTGATTCAGATAAAGACCAAAGTTTGAACTGTAACCTCCCACCTTTGCAAACTTAGGTAGATTATCTAAACTTTCAGAATCTGAGCTTCCATATCCATTCGATCATGACAATGACACAGACTTCTGGAAACAATGGGTTATCAAGAGAGGTAAATTATTTTGAAAAACAATTAGTTTCATAAAATTTTAGATTCCTGTTCTTCACCTGAAGATTGAGAAAATTCATTATTTTATGTTGTTCTTACAAAACCCAAAATTAACTAGTGGACTGATTCTCAAAAGAAAGCTGGTGTCTGGAGATGATAATACATATGACCAACATAAAAATTATACACGTGGAACAGAAACTTACAAGAGCAAAAAAGAATCTAAAAACTACATACCACTTTTCAAACTTGATACACCTGAAGACTGAGCAGAGAGCAGTGTCAAGCGATGCTCAGCATCCTGTATATACGCCATTGTGGTCATCGGATAAACATTTGCTTGAAGAGGCAATTTGCTCATTGTCATTCTAGGTTGAATCTATAAGACCAAAGAAGTGTCTTTAAAAAAAGAATTGAGTGATATTTACATATGTACTTTTAAAATATTAATATTGACTACAGATGACTTTTTTCCCCCAAAGAAGGTACAGCTTCCTTTCATGTTCAAGGTTAGAATTTAAAAATTAAAACATTCTTTAAAACAAAGTGAAGAAAAATCACAAGGATCTTAGAAAACAATTTTTAAGAGAGAAAGTTAGAACTTGTCCAGAGTTTTAAAATAGGCATCCAATTTAAATTCAGAATAAATATCCTTAATAAAAGTCTTCTAGCTCTCCAATATTTGCATAAAACAAATTATAAAGGTATTAAGTATTCATTTCTCATCTAAATCTAACATACTGCTTTTGTAATGAATGCTAAGCATAATAGCTCTTTATCCCTTTTCAAGACACATCTCTTATAATTCTTCTTCTAAAATGTTTTAATAAATACTATGGATCTCCCCATCAAATCCTCTAACATATTACATTATAATAATCAAATGTATATTTATATTTAAAAACTATTCCATGCTTACTCTTCTTGTTCCCTTTCAATGCAGATAGTTCCAGTTTTTTTGGTCTAGTATCTGAATGCGTGAAATACAACTCTAACATTACTTTTTGAGAGAGACTGACAATGTACTAAACTAGTATGGGTCAAGGAGACTCACTGAAAGCTCAGGAGGAGACCTCAGAGACTCTTATCAGGAATCTTATTCACATCACACAAAAATGCCATCTCTTCTTTTAAACTCATGAAAATTGGACATGAAACTCAAGCAGAAGAGTAGAAAGTTATCATGTACTGAGCACCCATTAACACCAGGCACAGTACTGGACACTCCAAAAATAAGATCTTTCATCTTCACAACAACCTGGCAGTCTTTTTGTCTACTTACTGGTTGTACTGAATAGTGTTTCCTCAAATTCATAGTCACCCAGAACCTGTGAATTTGATTTTATTTTGAAATAAGGTCTCTGGAGATATAATCAAGTTATACTGGATTAGAGGAGGCTCTAATCCAATGGTGTCCTTATAAGAGGAAGAATATTAGGACACAGAGACACAAGGATAAGACCATGTGACAGGAGAGGCACAGACTGAAGTGATGTGTCCACAGGGCAAGGAGTATCAAGAATTGCCTGAAACCACCAGAAGCTAGAATAGGCAAGGAAGCATCTGGAGGGAGCGTGGCCCTGTTGACACCTTGATTTTAAACTTCTAGTATCCAGAACTGTGAGGGAATAAACTTCTGTTGTTTTAAGCAGCACATTTTGTGGTAATTTTTATCACAGCCCTAGGAAATTAATAAACTGGTGAGGAAACAATTATAGAATGGTAAATTAAAAAAAGAAAAAAGAAAAAAAGAAAAGCTAGCTTGAAAGAATTCTCCATTTTTCCTTTCCGATCCTGATCTTCCCATTCCAATTAATTCATATACTTATTAAAACAAACAAACAAACAAAAAAAACCAACATTTAAAACTGCCACAACTATGTGGCTATTACCCCACTCTACACCTGTAGGTCAAGTTTTCTAGTCTTGCCCAAGTACTATTCTTTCCAAAGCTTAAATAATGGCCGACTTTAAAAGTAGAAATATTTGGGTTATAGACTTAAAAATAATATTTTCCTATTTATTCAAGTGTACAATCTTTGAAAAGAAAATTCACATTTTTACTAAGTTTTTTTTTTTTTTCTTTCTTTCATTCATGTATATATCCACACGAACAAATAATTGCTTCTGGAAGATTTTCAGAAAAGACTTTCTTTTGTATACAAGGAAAATGAATCACCACAAAGTAGGGGCTTCATCTGAGAACCAAACAGCTGTAGCAAAATTAACATGTTAATTCAAAATGTATGCTGCAATTTTTACGCTTTGGAAAAAGGTTTAAATTTAACTTTTGCAGGAAATCAAAGAAGAGAAAATTATCACAATCCTGTCCACTCATCCCAGTTGAAAATCAGACAAAGTAAAAGCATTTATTGTGAAATTATTTCTATTCGTAGCCAGAAATTTCTAAAATGCTAATGCCTCAAAATCATACTAATGTTTTTAACGGTATTATTTCAAAGGTATGTTATCACACACATTCTAAATCTCTAAACATAGAGATTTTGGTAACAATCAATAGAGCACCATCAAATTAGAGAACTGATAATATGAAAAATTTCTATGAATCAATTCCTTGATAGGAAAAAAAAAGATACTATCCATCAATCTCTAATTACATTTTCTTTCTATTAGACAAATTCTTTTTTTTTTTAATTTTTACAAGTTTATTTTATATATAAGGTAGCTACATTAACATAAATTTAAATAAAAATTTTAATGTACCTACATTCTTGATGAGATTGCTTTCATTTCATATATACACTTTAGCATCAAGGTATTTAACATGCATAATGGTCAACAAATCTTCCTTTGAAAAAATAAATCCTTACAAATAGATACTCTATAAAATAGTCTATAATATATTTGTTCTAATTTTGGAAATCTGGTTAATACAGAACCTACAAATGCCTGTTAAAATTCAGTTTTATTTTAGAAATAATTTGCAAACTTAAGCATGTTTTTCAAAGGATCCAAAATTAACTGGCCCATTACCATATATAAGTTACACACTAACTTATCCATTACTTAGACATTTTAAAAGAAAATCACCTGGTATCCATTTAGGTCCGTAAAAAATCTGTTTTGGCTGTTTATGCTAGAAGAAATTCTCATTGCAATCTCATAGTTCTGTTCTTTTCGGATGTCCACAATATTTGAAACTTCCACAGACTGTCCTTCTATTCCTAAATTTAAAATAAAATACACATTAATAGAAATTAATTGCCCTACTTTTCTTAAATATACTACACAGAACTCCTTCCAAAGTTACATATATTTTCCTGTTTTCTACCTCCTATCTTTACCATCTCTCATTTGCTAAGTGATGTCACAATTCACCTCTTCTTTTTTCTTTTTTGAAATATCAGATGGTAGACTGCATTTATTCAGGTATACATACAACTTAACGGAAGGATGTAGAGGTTGGGATGAGATAAATGTAGATGAAATATAACATGCAAATGATTCTCCAATGAGTTCTAGAGGAGAAAGATGATATTAAATGAGAAAAGTCAGCCCCACTACAGGCCAGTGCATCTCTTGTCTTAACTGCTATTCCCCAACAGAGCCATTTGAACCTACTTCTTCACCATTCTCTCCTTCACACACTGGAAATGATAAGCAGTGAAATTTATACTTTGTTGGTTCAAGAGACAGTGTATTATTGCCCATGATCTATATCTAGGAAAAGAGATGGGAGATCCAATAAGAGGATTTATGGCTGAAACTGATATTACCATATTAGTATTTTGGAGTAAAATCTGGAGAGCTCCCGAGAAGTTTAATCAATTTTAATTAAGTTTAGTATCTCTTAGGACCCCCTGTTATGGAATATTTCATTGTGCATTTTGCTATATAAAGCAGAAGACAGCTTGAAAAGGTCCCAGATGTATTAGACTTTTTTTTTTTTTTTTTTTTTTTTTTGGTTTAAGCCTAACGTT